CGAATCATGCGATCTCGAGCAGTTTTTGAACCGATCCTAAATCTAGTCGAATTCCGAATTTATATAAGCTAAAATTTTGTTTTAAATAAGAGAAATACATATTCTTCTAAAACAAATAAAAAAGAAAAGAAAATTTATGTCAAAATTTATTTATTAACTTTTAAAAAATTGAACCGAACCGAAACTCCAAAAATTGTAAAATTAGACGTTTTATTGAATGATCATCACATTTTTTTAATGAAGTCCAATGTGGAACTGATTGAAATAGAGCCGAACGAGCAGCTCCCATCTCTAATTTTGAGTCTATTTAATTATCATAAATATTTTTATTAAATTTACTTTGAACCACAACAGGTGTCCAATCACCAGTCTCATATGAATAAGAACACCACGTGATTTTGTGGCTTTTAAATTCTGATTGGCTCGATCGTCGCGAATTTTAAAAAAAAATCCAAAATATATATAAAATAAAATTATTTACTCCTTTTATAATAAGCATGTCTAAAGGATTATTTTTGATATTTCAAACTTTGAGTGTTTATTTATTTTTTTATTCAATTTTAATAAAGAAAAATAATTTTTCAAATACACAATTATAAAAAATCAAATTAATATCATGATTTCGGGACAATGACTCTAGCATCGCCTGGTAGCCGGATTTACTTGCCGGTTACACACATGCCGGTTACATGTGGTTTTGGATCAATTACGTTATTTAAAATTTTTTCTTTTCTTCACCATAATTTTTTTTTTATAAACTTATATTTAAAAGAAGAGTCACTTAATAAACCCAAACAATATTTATAGTTAGAAAATGTTCGTTCAAATTTTAAGTAATTAGAGAAAATGAAAAGACATAAGATTGTCAAACTATGCGAAGAACCTGGAAGGGTTTTAATAATATAACAAGTTAAAGGGGAGTTAGGACTACAAAATGTAAAATATATGAAATGTGATTTATTTTGATCTTGTTCATTTCTATGACATTTGAATTCATAATAAATATTATTTAACTATAATTGAGTTAATAAATTTATTGATAATTGAAATAATTTATACACGCCAAATAATGAGAAAAAAAAAACAACTAAGAAAAAATTATCATTAAATAGATTATATATTAAGGGAAAAAAATTTTAAAAAAAATCAGTTTGAAAAAGATCAAAAAAAAAAATCTAAATATTAAAACAAAAATATATATCTATCTAATTAAAAAATTTTTGCCATATTTAGATTACCCTGTATAAATAATTTGAATTGTGTAATATTGAAAATGTAATATTCTTGCGTTTGATCTATTTTGTATTTATCATATCATAATTAAGGAAATTTGATTGACCTTCCTGACTACGATAACCGATCTTAAACCAATACATTTCCGGTTAATTGATGGATTTTTTTATTCTGATGGATTAATACTAACAAAAAAAAATATAATTTTCATTTTATTTGCGGTCATTTCTGCTCTATTAGTTACCACGATTCTATAATAATATTTATTTTTTGGAAAATTTAAACGCTCACCGGGTGAAAATTACCTGATCACGTGATTTCGATTTCGTGATTTCGATTTACATGAAAAATCTTAAAATTTAAAAGTAATTTAAAATATTCTTTACATTTTTATATACTAAAATACATAAATAATCAATTAATAACATGTAAAAAATTTTTCTCTTTCTAATGAATGTTTTATCATAGTTATTAAGTAAAAAATGATTAAATTTCATTAGAAGAAACAATGTGAAAAAAAACATTTATATTTATATACAATTATTGATCAATGCTGTATTCTAATTGGTAAGGATGGCCCACCTATCTTATCGTCATATTTGGTTAAATTGTTATACATTTTTATATATAACTTGTTTGAACTTTTACAATTTAACAATCATAACTTTTGATAACTACTAAACTTTTTATGTTCCATAAAAAAAAAAGAGTTAGTCAGGCCTCTGTATAGTCATACCCATATAATCACATTTCAAAATTTTCTTTATATAATAATTTATATTCACGCCTTTGAAAAAAATTCACTCGTATAAAAGACTATATAAAAACTTTTATTTAATCACATCCTTTATATAGTCACATTTAAGATTATTTATATTTTTTTTTTATTAAAATATATAAATTCAGCATGCTTGTAAATTTGTCATTTTTTCCCTTTTGGAATAATGCTGACCGTGTTGATCTCGTCTGACCCATTTATACCATATCTTATTGGCTGTATCATATCAATATTATTTTTGGTTAGTTTAGTATTTGCCAAGAAAATTCATTTTTTCCCTTTTGAATAAAACTAACCACAACTAATATTAAATTTGCGCCGATTTCTCCTGACCCATTTATACTATATCTTATTAATGTATATCATAAAATTATTATTTTTGGTTGGTTTAGCATTTTGCCAAGAAAAGTTCATTTTTTACTTATTTGGATGAACCTAACTAAACTAATATTAAATTTGTGCCGATCTCTCCTGACCCATTTATTTTATTTATGTCATAAAATCCATTATTTTTTTTTTTGCCAAGAAAATTCATTAATTCCTTTTTAGGATAATGCTAACCATAGCTAATATTAAATTTATGTCAATCTTACCTGACCTATATTCTTACGAAAACCAAATTCGTACGATAATCAACATCAATAAATTTGAATCGACCCTAGAAAACTTTTTTAATTTGTATTGACAAAATGTCATATAACAAGACATCATACAATAAATGTAAAAAATGTCATGAAATATACACAGACACAAATTATAAATGGTGTAAATTCTGTCAAATAAAAGATATAAAAGAAATTTTTACCAGTGGTAACGAAAAAATTGATAAATTTATTCAAGAAAAACAACTAGAAATCAATAATCCGTCAGATATAATATTTGAATGGATACCATACGATCAATTTTTTGATATTAATGAAGTATACAATGATAACTCTTCTACGATATATTTAGCAAGATGGAAGAATGGTCCATTATATTGGGATCATTATCATGAAAAAAAATATATAAGAACCCCTCATGGTAAAGAAATTACTATAAAATATACACATAATTTACAAAGTATTGATGAATTTCTAAATGAAGTATGTAATATTTCTATGAACTTGAATCACTTTAACATAACAAATAATTTATTTATTTATATTTGATAGGTTAAAGAATATTCTATTAATTTCAAAGTATATGGAATATCTCAAAATCCGAATACAAATGAATATATTTTAATTTTAGAAAATGAATATGGTAAATATTGTATAAAATGTAATAAAGTTTATACAGATGTAGGTAAAGAATGGTGTAAACAATGTCAAATTAATTATTTAAGAAATAATTTTTCTAATTGGACCAGTGGAAATGAAAAAATTGATAATTTTATCCAAGAAAGGCAATTAGGAAATAACTCATCAGACATAATATTTGAGTGGATAGCATACGATCAGTTTTTTGACATTAATAAAGTGAATAAAAATGATTTTTCTACAACATATTCAGCAAAATGGAAGAATGGTCCATTATATTACTTAGATCAAAAATATGTAAGATTTTCATCAAATAAAGTAATTGCTTTAAAATTTTTACATAATTTAAAAGATATTGATGAATTTCTAAATGAGGTATGAACATTTTCTTAATGAACTTACAGTAACCACTTATTAAAATTTTAATTAGGAATTAAAGTTAAATCATTTTTAACTATAATAATAATTTTATTTTATAATAATTAGGTTAAAGAATATTTGATTAATTTCAAAATATATGGAATGTCTCAAAATCCAGATACAAAAGATTATATTATGGCTTTAAGTCTTAAAGATTATTGTACAAAATGTTGTATTAAATGTAACAACATATATCCAAGTATATATTCTAAATGGTGTAAATCATGTCAAATAGAAAATTTGAAGGAAAATTTTATTAATTGGACCAGTAAAAATGAAGAAATTGATGACTTTATTCAAGAAAAGCAATTAAATATTAATGACTCATCAGAAATAATTTTTGAGTGGATACCATCTAATCAATTTCTCAACATTAACGAAGTAAATAAAGATGATTCTTCTACAGTATGTTCAGCAAAATGGAAGGACGGTCCATTATACTGGGGACATCGTCTAGATAAAAAGTATATAAGACTACAAAAAAAAGAAGTTACTCTGAAATATTTACATAATTTACAAAATGTTGATGAATTTTTAAATGAAGTATGGATATTTTATATTAACTTGAATTATTTTTTGATACTAATGTAATTTATCTATTTATATTTAATAGGTTAAAGCATATTCTATCAACTTCAAAGTATATGGAATATCTCAAAGCCCAGATACAAAAGATTATATTTTAGTTTTATATGATGAATATGGAAAATATTGTATAAAATGTAATAAAGTTTATACGGACGTAAATAATAGATGGTGTAAACAATGTCAAATAAATCATTTAAGAAAAAATTTTACTTATTGGACGAGTGGAAACGAGAAAATTAATGATTTTATCCAAAAAAGGCAATTAAGGATTAATAATCCATTGGATATAATATTTGAATGGATATCATACGATCTATTTTTTGACATTAAAAAGATAGATGAAAATAACTTTTCTACAATATATTTGGCGAAATGGAAGAATGGTCCATTACGTTGGGATGAGAATAGTAAAGAATACAAAAAACATCAATATGAAGAAGTTTCTTTAAAATGTTCACATAATTCACAAAGTATTGATGAATTTCTAACTGAGGTATGAAATTTTTTATATGAACTTATATGAACTTAATCATTTTATAGTATATTAATAATTTATTTATACTTAATAGGTTCAAGAATATTTAACAAATTTTATATTATATGGAATATCCCAAAATCCCGTTACAAAAGATTATATTATAGCTTTCTTAGATAAAGATTATTGTATAAACTGTAACAATACTTATACAGAAGTAAAAAATAGATGGTGTAAACAATGCCAAATAAATAATTTAAGAGAAACTTTGACTAACTGGACCAGTGGAAACGAAAAAATTGATGATTTTATTCAAGAAAAGCAATTAGGAATTAATGATCCACTTGACGTAGTATTTGAGTGGATACCATACAATCAATTTTGTGATATTAAAGAGATAGATAGTGATGACTTTTCTACAGTATTATATTCAGCTAAATGGAACAGTGGTCCATTATATTGGGGAAGTTTGCTTAAAATATATACAAGAGAACCAGATATGAAAGTTATTTTAAAACATTTATATAATCTACAAAATATTGATGGATTTTTAAATGAGGTATGAAGTTTTACTATGAATTAAATCATTTAATATAATATATTAATTTATTATTATATTTGAATAGGTTAAGGCACATTCAATCAATTTTACAGTATATGGAATATCTCAAAATCCAGATACAAATGATTATATTTTAGTTTGGCAAGATAAATATGGAGAATATTGTAAAAAATGTAACAATGTTTATACAAATGTGGATGATCAATGGTGCAAACAATGCCAAATAAATTATTTAAAAAATAATTTTATTAATTGGTCTAGTGAAAATGATGTAATTGATAATTTTATTCAACAAAGGCAATTAGAGGCTAACGGTCGATTGGATGTAATATCGGAGTGGATACCATATAATCAATTTCTTAACATCAAAGAAATAGGTAAAGGTGGTTTTGCCACTATATATTCAGCAACATGGAAAGGTGGTCCGTTAAATTATTGTGTTGATAAAAGCAAATATACGAGAATTTTAGATAAAATGGTTGCTTTAAAATGCTTACATAATTCCCAAAATATTACTAATGAGTTTTTAAATGAGGTACGACATTTTCCTTATAAATTTCGCCATTAATTTATAGTAATTATTTTTTTGTTTTAATAGATTAAAGAATATTCAATAGATAACCATGGTAATAATATTGTTAAGATATATGGTTTATCCCAAAATCCGGATACAAAAGAATTTATTATAATTCTTGATTATGCAGAAGGCGGAAATCTTAATAATTGGTTAAACAAAAATTATAAATATTTTTCTTGGTTAGCTAAAATAAATACGTTACTTAATATCAGTAATGGACTTAAAGAGATTCATCAAAAACAGAGAGTTCATCGTGATTTACATACAGGGAATATATTATTATTTGTGAATAACATAAATATCTTCGATGATAATATAATATCAATTTCTGATATGGGATTATGTGGAGAAGTTGATAATATAGACAAATCAAATATTTATGGAGTTATGCCTTATGTAGCCCCTGAAGTATTAAGAAGAAAACCTTATACTCAAGCAGCAGACATATATAGCTTTGGTATGATTATGTATTTTGTAGCAACTGGAAAACAACCATTTACTAAGTGTGCTCACGATAAGCTTCTAGCATTAGATATATGCAATGAAATTAGACCTGAAATTAATGAGCAAGAAGTACCAAAATGTTATATTGATTTAATGAAAAGGTGTTGGGATTCAAATCCAGAAAATAGACCAAATTCTTTAACACTATACGAATCAATTTTACAATTTCGTAAGTCATATAGAGGAAAAATTATTGATACAGGAACATATGATAACGAGACTGATGCTGGTAATATTAAGGAGCAATTAATTCAGCCATCTGATAAAATTGAGAAGTATGATAGTAATGAAATTGATGATCAATTCAAAAAAGCGGAAGAATACAGAATAGAATATCTTTCATTCGAAGAAGATAATCAATCAGATACCCATCCACAAGCAATTTTTATAGCCCGATTACTTAACTCTTTTACCGATGAACTTCCAGAATTTGATGACGATAAGTCTGAAGCTTTAGACTGTAAAATATAATGAATAATCGATTCTTTATATTTAGTATTAAATTGTTTAAATGCTTATACTTATTTTCTTTAATTCATATTTTTGTTCATTTAATTTGAACGGAAATTTTTTTATTTCTTTAATTTGTTCAAAAAGTTCAAAAACAAAATAAAATGAGTGAATTTAAAATTTCTTCTATTTTAACTTTATAAATGAATTAACAATACAATTTTATTTACGAACATACAGTACATGTAAAATCTTCTTTATAACTACCATGTATTAAAAGTAATAAAAGTGAAAGAAAACTTGACAAAGTTTAATTCATTAGCATAATTTTACTTTGTCATCTTTTGAATATAAGTCACCTCTAACATGGACTTAAAAGGACTTTTCATAGTTTGAAACTGCTTATTTCTTTAACGTCATTAACGTCTTAATGTTCGTCTGAAAAATCGGTAGAAATAAAAATAATAAGCGAATAATTACAATATTTTTTAATAATATGGCATCAACTTTGAATCACTTTAGTTTAGCAGCTCACTTAAAGTTAAATGAGACTTTGCAATCTCATCCATTCTTAAAATTCTTAAAAGGAAAATTTATCGCAGTTTCAGAATTCTGTGTACGTTGTGATTACTGAGTGATTATGATTACAGGACGATTACAGGACAACATTGTTCAATTTTTGTTCGGTAATCGTCTTGTAATCTAATAATTTTTTATCAGATGATCTATGGGGTAGTACAATTTTGAAAAGCGCAATAAGCAAAAGGCAAAAGTGAACTAATGATTAGTAACTTTTTTATGATATTTGGAAATAGAAATATAAAACGCAAAGAAGCTACATCCTCCCATCCTCGACAGCATCGAGAGATATAATTACATACAAGCTTATCTATCACCTTCTATTTAGAAACAATTTAAACTGAACTTCAGTTGATTCTGTAACAATTTTGCTTTATTTGCCGTATTTTGATCAAGTTGTTTTAACAAGAATGGACAACTCGTAACCTAGCAAAGAATAAGCTTAAATTCGCTTCTGAATCCAGTGTATATCAAAGGTTTGATGATCAACTCTCAATATTCATATTTAGCCAGTAAGTTGCACAAACAGTCCAGGTAACGATTGTAACACACATATTGTAGTGTTAATGAGAAAGTGCTGATGGTAATTTTTGATGGTCATAACGGTGATCTGATTTAACATTCACGAGTTAAAATAGATGACGACTATACTTAATCTAGATTTATTTCCATACAGTTGCAGTAAAGTTTTCGCAATATTTGTTTCTGAATAAACTTTTCCTAAAGTTTTTTCCATAGACCATAGTAAAAAAGTATCAATAAGACTTAATTACTGTTCCTTTAAAAAATTCGTTAAGAGTCTTAGTGTCATACTTTTTTATTTCTTCTGCTAGTATAAGGGGCTTGTTTTCCGTTGACATAGATACAGGTTTTGTTTAAACGAAAAAAAATTGTTAAACGAGGAGTTTCCGGACGAATGATTGTGCTTATCCGTCGCGTATTTCTATTTATAGGAGACAATACGTTCCCGCCATCACGTGATCCTGAGACAATTGAACGACTTGAACGTAATAATTTACAGATGAACACGATATGTTTTTAAGATATCTTTATTTTGATTCAATTTTTCAAAGGAGATGACGACAATAAAATCCAACCATTAATTGTTATTAATTATTAGTCAAAACCAATCAAAACTATCTTTTTTATTTTTTATTTATTATTTTTTTTTTTGTAAGGTTCAATGATGACAGAATGACTTGAACTAGTTGCACGACTTAGTGAATGGGTAAATATTGAAAACGCTTTAATAATTTTTATTGTAATACATGAATTGGTAAGTATTTGTATTGGTGGTGCGATGAATAAATTTTGAAACCAATCAAATTACTTTCATTCAATGATTTCAATTATAAACAATGGTTATTATGTAAAAAATATTTAGTCCTTAAATTAGCAGGAAAAAAAAAATTAAAATGTCCTATTATGCTTTTTTTTACTAACTTTCCTTTATTAAATTATCGACGTATCATAATCTAGTATCAAAATTAAAAATTTTATAATATTAAATAATTTTTTCTTTGAACAACTTTTACATTTTAATGCAAATAAAAATATTAATTAAGTACATGGAGCGAAAATGGTTAAATTTAAAAATCACGAAGAATTCATTGTGCAGATATATTTGAAACACTTAAAACTTTTTGCATGAATAAATTAAAAAGTGTGTTAAATTGAGATTATAAAGAAGTCTTGGCGAAATTTTTATCGTTCAAAATCAGTTTTTTTTTAGTAGCACAAGTTTCAATGATAATATGATAATGATCCAAAATAATCATTTAATATAAATGAATTTTTAATTAAAAAAGGTTTTTAAAAAAAAGGTTTATATTTATATATAACATGTATTTGTATAACATGTATTTTATAACAATATAATATATATATATTTTCTTATAAAAAAAAAATTTTTTTTTTTATGCATATATTATGTTAAAAATGCAACTCACTATTCGATAAATGACCAAAATAACATTATTAAATTTATGTAATAAATATTTATTATTACAAATAAATATTATCAAATGATTGTTTACAAGAATTTTGCATATATTATATTATAAATGTTTAAAGCATCCTAAAAATAAATAATTCTTTGTACGAAAAAGATTGATTTTTTTTATATTTGTTGATCAGATGATTTTATTACAGGTAAAAAAAAAAAAAAAAAAAAAATAGGGGATGATAATTTTATACTTATCATAAAAAAATTTTTTATGCGTTACGTCCTGAAATTCAATTTTGTTTAAATTAAAAATTTAAAGATGTACACAACATGAATTTTCCTGAGTCATCAGTTAGATTTGGTGCTACAACATTTTTTTGGTTTAGTTTATCTTTGATTTTTGACGAACAGAGAACAATAAAAAGTAGCGTACTTTTTAATTGTTTAGAAAAAGTATTTTAAAAAAGTCCCATTTCTTTATTTAGTAAACTTGATCGGCCGGTTAAATTTTTTTTTCAGAAGGAAAGTTTTTTTTTTTTTTCCGGATAATCCGAATGTCAAAATTTTATTTGAAAATCAAAAGGGTAACTGGGATCTACACACGTTATATTAATTTTTACCTGCATTAAGCGCTAAGCGCCTAGAACTACTATTAAAGAATCAACACAGCCATGGTCATTCAGCGCAAGAGGCCGAGACCTGCCTTTTCTATATATGTAGATAAATTCGCTCCGTCTAGATTTATAACTAATTAAAAGCAATTAATGTAACTTCCTCTTTTTTAAATATAGTAAATTAAAAGGTAATGGTTTAATATAAATGTTTATTTTGCGTTTCATTATCCAGCGACTATCGATATCATGTGATATTCAGTACTTTGACGATCATTTTAGAAGAAAAAAAATATTCGTGAACTTTAGATATAATAAAAAAAATAATCTCGAAACTTACCGAAACTTTATCATTGAAAGATGATTGTACTACGCATGAATAAACACTAAGTTTAGAGGTAAGAATTATCTGTTTGAGATCTTTTAATCTAATAATCATTTTTACAATAAAAAAATTTTTTGGTGGTACCGAAAATTCTTTATAGAACGAAAGAACAATAGAACCAAATAAGCTGAGGTGCTACCAAATAAATACTTTTTACCGACATTTCTTACTAAAATGTCCGTGCCACATTGCCACATGTGTAAATTAAAAAAAAAAAATTTTATTCTAATTCCCAAATAAAAATCAATTTTTATTTTTATTTTTTTTTTTTTCGTTAATCATTTAATTTAATTATTATGAACCCCTTCGATTATACAGTTTTTATTTATGCAACCTTCGGTTTTGTGGTGAATTAAAAAATTGCATAAATGAATGAAACTCGTATCTAACGTGCATAAAACGTATCGGTTCATCCAAATATTTCATTACATAATGTTGAGGTAAGTTATTAAAAACACAAATAAAAACAAAAAAAATGTCACACAACGATTAAATAGTCTAGTTTTTTTCTTTAATTAATCAAAGAAAGAAGTACATGCAGACATTTTACATCTACTTCAGATATATAAAAGTAAGTAGTTTAAAGAAATTTTGGATTTTAGCGCGGGTCCTTTCAGCTCTTTTCGTGCGATACTTTTCGATTTAATATATACATTCTCTTAAATTTTTTTTTTAAAACTGTAATTGCTCTTATAATCGCGCCACATTAATTCCATATACTTTACTCATCAAATTTATCTCGTTTATAAAAAATGATTTCTTTATCAAATTCAATTCGTTTTAGTTTTATTACTTTAATTTCGTCGTTACTTCTTACGGTACCATTAAGTCATGCGTATAGTTCGCCGGACGAAAATTCTCTTGGTTCTAAGTCCGATTTTTATGTCGTGACGATTATTCCTTTAACCTTGAACGCATTGAATTTGCTTGGAAGTCTTTATATATTTTACCGTAAGTAATTTGTTTAATTTGAATTTGATCTTAATTATTATTTGCGGTAAAAATTGACAACCAGAAAAATAAACTTAAAGGCACGTATTTACGATGGAAATTTGATTATGATAAAATTACTTTATTATCGGTTAGATTTCCATTTTACATAGCAATTACGGGTAAATATTAAATAATTTATTTGTGTAATATATGATATACGTGTAAATATATAATATTTAACTTTTATCTTTATGATATTTAGATTTTTTGTTCTCAATAATAATCTTAATTGATTTCGTGAGTAAATAATATTCGCATCAATTTTTTTTTTTTTTTTTTTTTTAGAAAAAAACTAATTGTATACCTTCTTATAGTCATATACTGCTTCGAATGCATCGGCGTTATCAAATGCAACAAAAGAAGAAGATATTTTATGGCCATCACCATATTGTGAAATTCTTGGATTTTTTAATACCGCTTTCACTCTGTTAAATATGTTATTGGTAAGAAATTAAATTAAAATTTAAATTTTTGGTACTGCTAAATATCATCAGTAGTGACGGGTGGTGAAATTATGATGTAATGCCGGCCAGTGTTTTATTTGAATTTTAATTCTGGCCAAAAGTGCATCATAATGTGATCAGATCAATTTTCTAATTTTTTTTTAATCATTTTTTATTTCACAATATATATATATATATATATATTTCACATATTCTAATAGGTTGGAAGCCTTTCTATCACAACTTGGTTGAGAGTCGTACAAGAGTATTATTTTTCATGGGGAAGATATGATTATAAAGTTTGGTCTCCAATCTGTCTTATATCATTCATTATTCCTCTAATTTCCGTGCATGACTTTGGTTCTCAAGTGTATTGGTAAGTTGCATAAATAATTATGTTACACGGTTATTCTATAAGCACGTCATCCGTCATGTATTTACTGAACTGTATATCTCATTTTTTTAAGGTGCGGAATTAATGAATATGATAATTCATTGATATCAACGTTCTTGTTGGTCACAATTCTTCTCACATTAATTACTATTGTATTTTGTTATATGCACGTATTAAAATTGATTCATAATGTAAGAGAAGATTCACCCATCGAAAATTCAGAAGCAGATATACAGCGACATAATAATATCGAGAAAAAAATTTTAAAGAAAGTAATGGCCTATATTTTGGTCTTCATCTTTCAATATATTCCTCTCTTATTATCAGATATTTTCAAATTATTAAAGGTAATCCTTTTTTTTTTTATATATACAAGAATTTGGGAATTAGAAAAAAAAAAAAATATTGAATTTTTTCTTTAATTTTATAGATTAATTATATTATTTTGCTTAACGCCTTAAGTCTTTCAGGTAATAATTTTTTTTTTAAAAAAGAATAATGATATCAAGTTATTGAAATCCCTTCTAATATAATTTTTTTGTTTCTAGCCATTAGTATTGGAGGAATAAGCAACTTGATTCAATACATACGAAATGAAAAATTTTTATTAGTACATCGTAATAACAATGATTTAAATGATAATATTAATCTTGAAGAGAGAGAACAGACAAAAAGTAGTAAATTATAATTTTTTTACAAATTATATTTGATATATAATGTTTTTTTTTTTTCTTTTTACATAAAATTATTTAAATAGCGGAAGGTTTTTTTTTTTCTTTTTTTTTTTTTTTTATAAAAAAAAAAAAAATTGTAAAAATATATAAGTTCTTATCGTAATTAATAATAAACAACCTCTTATGAGAACTGGCGTCCCTTGTAAATACGTTCCAGGCTAAAATAATAAGATGTGATGATAGTAAACAGTACTTAGTGCAACTTATAAATTGAACTGAGGCAAAATTGAACTTCGGTTTCAAAAAATTACTACTGTAAACAATTATGGAAAAATAACTGATCTGTTCTTACAACCAATAATCATATGGTATCCGGATTTATTCTGTCGGGTCACATATAATATTAAAGAATACTTACCCTAAATCCTAGGCTTAACTAACTACTCTACAAAATAAGTACCACGTCACACTCGTCACAGTTGAATCACAAGAACAAACTGTGCCTGTTTCTAAAGCCTTAAATTAAATCTTCAGGAGGAACTAATCATTCAAAGGCCAAAAAGCCAAGAATAAGAAAGGCGGGATCTTCAGATACCATTTTTTGCTGGCGACGCTAGGGTTGTTTGCCAGCCGAAACTAATTGTAATTCCGACCAGCACTTTTCTTTCGGTTCGGTAAAATTTCAAGCTCTGCGCTTAACTTTTAGACCCTTCGCAGATAATACTCATTACAGTAGTATTGGATTTATAATTGTTAAAATAAATAAATAAGAATGATATCTGGGACACAACATACATAATAATAATGATAATATACGTATCTTTCATAACTGATTTCATAATCTACTCGGATATTGAATGATTGTGGTCATTGTGCCACGCAGTGGCACTATGACAGCCAATCATTCAGCACCCTCGTGTCCTTTTTATGTGCATCACGTGTTCAAAACTATTGGATTAAAATGATGTACAATGCAAATTTCGCCTGAAGTACGCAATTTTCGCGGCTGTGCCATGAAAATCATGATATCCTACAGTGACCGTATCACGGTTATGACCATAAAACTTAGATCTTTATAGACCTAGAGGTTCAGCTAGGTGCACTCAATTTTCTTTTACAAAATGCACTTTTCACCTACTATTCATAAAACACAGGAGGATAAACTGACAAAATCATTATTTATTTCATATAATATTAAGCAACCATTTAAAAGCATCTGTTTGCTAAGCCATAAAAAGCTTATAGTTATTCTAAACCTAAATATAAAAAATATTAAAAGAACAGTAATATTATAAAAATATTAAAGTGAATAGTTATAACATAAATCCTATAAATATACATATAAATCCTATAAATGCATAATACATGATAATCATATTTAAAATCTTTTCATTATTTCAAATAAAATTTTTTTACTGATCTTTACAAAATACATGGGTATTTTTCATTTCTTTACTGATCTTTCCAAAATACATGGGTATTTTCTCCTCGGTGTACACGTAGGTGATTTTCGGTACCACTCATCAATTATGTTTATTTTGTATATGTTTAACCATTTGAGAGGCGTCCTTAATAATTGCCTTGCAGTAAGGGCATACTTTTTCATCATCATCATCATCATCACTATCTTCTTCATAATCTATTTCCTAAAAAATAATGAAATTTTAAAAATGAGATATTTAACAACAACGATAACTATTATAACGTATATTATATTTACCTGTGCAACGATATCATTAATAGGCCACAATTCTAAAGTAAAACCTGGTAAAATTTTACCACCTTCCAAATTTTCCCATGGTTGTGATCGACGATAAGGTTCACCATTCTTATTTCTTTTGTAAACCCAGATTATGCGATTCAATGGATCAAATAACCATCCTAACTCCACGGATGTACCACTTGCAAAATATTCCTTCTTGAATCTGGTATCAATTTCTTTTTCTACTTCTTTTTTCTTGAGATTTGCAACTTCAACAACAAATAAAGGGGTAAAAGGTTGCCCATTAAAAGACCAAAGTTGTTCTTCATCAAGCGAACGATAAATATTGGCAGATGTAAAAGTAATGTCTAATGCTCGAATTTTCTGACTACCAGAAACATTAAAATCAAAACCTCCTTTAGATGTGGTTACAACACCATTCTTGGCATTATTAATATTCCAATTACCAAGCTGTCTAGAGATTTCATGTACAATAGCTTCATATACAATAGGAGAATATGGAATAGAAACTAGTTTTCCACCTACAAGCTCAAAGTTGGGATGATTATTCTTAATGTGGTTTTTGATGAGTTCAAACTCCTCAAGGCTGTAAGTACGGCTGAAATCTATATTATTAATATCTATAAAAAAAAAAAATAAAGAGTTAAAAAGAGTTATATATATGTTATATCTTATCAATTATAAGGAAAGTTTTTTACCAAATTTCTTCCTCGAATTTCCTGAATTGGTAAATTTCTTCCTTTTTGATGCTGAATTTTCTGAGTCTGCTAACTTTACTGAGTCTATTAACTTCCTTTTTTGCGTCATCTTGAATAAGAAAGAAAGAAAAAAAAAGAAAGAGAAAGGTTATACCGTTGTTAAGAAAGAAAGAGAGGTATAAAGAGAGAAAAGTTGTTGAAGTTTTATTTTATCAAGTAAACAACTGTTTGTAATTTTTTTTTTTTTTTTTCGCAAGCATTTTATATTCTTAATTTTTATTAAGTCATACATACTCATTATTAGCAAAATGTATCATTGATTCATAATATTTAAGGATATCAATGTGGCTCATAAAAAAGATTTTAGACATATAGTATTGTACTACAAGAGAATTATTAGTGAGGAACAGAAATGTGATTTGGACTCATTTTAATTTAAATCGAATAATTTAAATTCTTAAGAAACTTTTTGTTTATTAACTTTTAATTCAAATTTATCATATTAGATTGTTCTATTTTTTTTTTTTGTCGGTTTAATGATTTAATATATGATATTCCAATATGAATCTTAATAATTAATTTTATACGGAAAAAAAGATTTTGTAATTTTAATATATATGCAATATATATACTAAATTTGTACTAGTTTCGCAGTGATTATATTTATTCTTCTTCTGAAACATATAAGTGCTATTCCGTTTTTATTGAATAAATTACTAGCTAAGTAAGTTATAGTATTTTTTTTGTTTATAATTGTAGAAATTTTAAAATAATAAAATATAGATATTTAAAAGGATGGGAGAAATTTGTTCAAGCTGTTCAAAAATGTCTACAATTCACCCTTACGAGTAATGATTTAGATAAAATTCATTAGAATTTTACAAACATTATGAGAGGTGAGTATGAATAAATATTATTTAAATAAACGCATTATTTGTATAATACATTAAATTATCAACCTTCTTATTAATAATATAGTAAAGATTTTCTACTTTCTAGAAAACCTACGCAACGATCTATCGGCATTTTTATCACAACTTTCGTTTTTAAAAATAGGGTTTACGGTAATTTAATTAACTAGTGAACGAACGTAAAATTAGTAGATTACATTATTTTTCGAAATTTCGTACATTTTATTATCATGACGAATCCAAAAAAAAAAATCATCATACAAACAAAATAAATTTAATTACAATAAAATGGCATATAATAATATAATTACTGCTTATTTTGTTATTGCCTTTTCTTTTTAATAATTTTAATAATACCAAACATGCCACCATAACAACTAAGTATTAATGAAAAGTTTTTTTGTTAAATTAATCGATATATTTTGTTTTCGCTAATGCATTTATAATAAAATACGTTGTTTGATGAGTCGTATTTGAACGGTCCGCATTGATTACGTCACCTTCATAAAGCCCATTTTCATCTATCGTTAATATAAAGAAATAAAAATTAAATTATGTCATGCATGGCATTTGGGCGAAGTTGTTTTGTAAAATTATTTGGATCTGTAAAAATTAAATTATGTCATGTATCAGCACTCTCTGGAAACAGTTTAAATACATGAAATGAAGGTGTCCTACTGCACTACGCTTATGCTTCGGTCAAAAACTTATGACTTGGGTTATCATTACAATCTCCAAAAGATCCTGCATTGTTTGTAACTGTATGATCTCCAACTTCTTCCCACACTAAAGTACAAGATTTAATTTTGTTATTCATGAAAAATATGAAAATATAATATTAGTAAAAGACAAATTAATACATACACCAAACAACACTTTGTCCATCACGAACAATAAGATCGGGATAAAATCCAGTGTTATTAACTTTTACTGCTGCTTTTTTTTTTGTTGTAATAAGACCCACCCTTTAAAATATAATTTTGTGCAAATACTACTTGCAAGACATAAAACATTAAAATGCTTAATAAAGCTATGATAGATTTTGTCATTATCATTGTACGTATTCAATTTTTTTTTATATTTTTGTAAGGAAGAAGTGAAATTTCCTTATGGTCAGTGGAAATTTCCCTATCGTTTTAAATAAATATTGTTATTATAAAATGGTACATTATAGGCAAACGTTACAAAATGTTGGTTACATTGCACTCTTACGTTTCGCAATACCATTAATTAAAAATTTAAAAAAATTGATTCTATTTCTTTATTTTTAATTATTTATATATATATATATATATATATATATATATAGAAAATACAAAAGCAGTGGATCAGGACCCAGAAATATATATAAATTCAGGTTTGAGTTTGCGTATTTTGAACTAACAAAAATCATGAAAATCTCTCCTTTTTTAGATAATTTTTGATAATGCCAGTCAGAATTTTATTTCCTATTATAGTTACCGACTGACATTATCATAATTCCGGCCCTGAAAAAATGCGTACAGCTCATAGTAAAAAATTTTTTTCATCACCTGACCCCTATATATATATTTTTGGGTCCTAGTGGGACAACGATCCCAACAAAATTAAATTTACTTGTTACAAAACGTAAAATTAAATTTTTATAAAAATTACTAATTAAGGTCAACATAATTACACCATTTAACGTAACATTTCGAAATATTAATTTTGATGATTTTGCTCAATTACAAACTGATTTTATTGATGTAAAAAAACAATTTTTACATATACTCTATAAATCAGTGTTGAACTAAAACATGTAATTATCCAATAAATATACTAAAATAATATATAGATAATAAGAGTGTAAATTTTTTTTTTATTTTTAATAGCCCATATTTACTATATATTGGTCATAGTAATCAACCGAAAAAAAAATATAATAAAGAAATTTACTATTTTTTTTAAAAAAAAAGGACACGAACACAGTTCTTAGTCTATATCAAAATAAATTAGGATAAAACTTAACTAAATGAAATCTATAGTATAATGTACATTGAAATCAGTTTAATCAGCAATTGAACAGTCTAAACATTCGGAATGATCATCATTATTATCGCATTTCGAAAGGTCTTTTGTAAAAGGGTTTAATAATCGAGATATATTACTAGCTTGTGGATGTGTTGTTGATTGGTTAATTTCAATAGATGAAATAGATGAAATATTTACTTTTCTGTATTCTTCTGCTTCTTTAAATTGCTTTTTAATTTCACTGTTTAAACCAAAATTATACGAGTAAATAATATTTTCTATTTCAATAGCATTTGGTCTATTGTCTGGAACCGAATCCCAACACCTTTCCATTAATTCAACGTAACATTTTGGTGCTTCTAATTCATTTAATTTAGGTCTGATTCCATTACATATACCTAATGCCAATACTTTATCATGAGCATGATCAAAGAAAGGTTGTCTTCCGGTTGCTACAAAATACATAATCATACCAAAACTGTATATATCTGCTGCTTTGGTGTAAGATTTTCCTCTTAACACTTCTGGAGCTACGTAAGGCATTACTCCGTAAATTTTGGATTTGTCTACACTACCAATTTCTCCACATAATCCCATATCTGAAATATACGTATCATTATATCGGTTAACATATCCATATTCAAATAATATATTTCCTGTGTGAAAATCACGATGAACCATCTGTTTTTGATGAATTTCATTTAAACCAATAATAATATTATATAGTGTTCGTAATTTATTATTCCAGTCAAAATGTTTATAACATTTATTTATCCAATCATTAAAATTTCCACCTTCTGCATATTGAAGAACTATAATATAATTCTTTGTTTTCAGATCTTGAGATATTCCATATATTTTAACAATGTTACTACCACATTTATTCATTGAATATGCTTTAATCTACCAAGATAAGAGCTTAGTTGTTAATATACTTATAAGTCATATATTTAATAACATGATATAACATAATCACATACCTCTTTTAAAATTTCGTCAATTATATCATGTGATTTATTTAACAATTTTAAAGCAACTTTTTTATACGGCCCTCTTTTCCATTCTTTATCATAATGCAATGGACCATTTTTCCATTTCGCTGAATATACTGTAGCAAATCCACCTTTACCTATTATTTTAATAGCCTTAAATTGATTATACGGTATCCATTCAAATACTATAACATTTGGGTTATTAATTTTTAATTGCATTGCTTGAATAAATTCATCAATTTTTTCATTCCCACTCCAATTTGTAAAATTTTTTCTTAAATAATCAATTTGACATGATTTACACCATTTACATTTTATGTCTGTATATTCTTCGATACATATCTCACAATAACTTCCAACATATCCTTTATGATTATTCTTAAGAACCATAACATAATCTTTGGAATCGGGCTTTTGAGTTATTCCATGTATTTTGAAATAGTTATTGTATATTTTCACCTAAACAATTTTAATTACATTAAAAGAGTATTAAGTTAGATTTATAGAAATTAGAAACTTTCGTAAAATCATACCTTATTTAGAAAACCATTAATCGTATTTTTTGAGTTACATAATTTCAAAGTAACTTCTTTGCTAGTTTGCACTCTTACCCATTTCTTTTTATTTGACTCATATTCCAATGGGCCATCATTCCATAATGCTGAATATATTGTATTGTTTACTTCCTTAATACTACTAAATTGATCATATGATATCCATTCAAATATTATATCACTTGAACAATTTACTTTTAATTGCATTTCTTGAATAAAATTATCAGTTTTTTCATTTCCACTAGTCCAATTTTTAAAATTTTCTTTTAAATTCTTTATTTGACATGACTTGCACCATTTATTCTGTATTTCTGTATATTTCTCATCACATTCTTCACAATATCCATCTTGAGAAACCAAGACATAATCTTTTGTATCAGGATTTTGAGATATTCCATATATTTCAAAATTTTCATCACTTCTATATACTATAATCTGTTTAATAACAAAATTAATATTAAAAATTGTATTTATCTAAATTATACTTAAAACTTTCATACCTTATTCAGAAAATTATTAATTATATTTTGTGAATCACATAGTTTCAAAGTAACTTCTTTAGCTTGTACTCTTGCCCACTTCTTTTCACTCAAATTATATTTCAGTGGGCCATCTTTCCATAATGCTGAATATACAGTTTTATTTATTATTTTAATATTA